TAGATAGATAGATAGATAGATAGATAGATAGATAGATAGATAGATAGTAGACAAAACAATAAAAAGTTAAAATACATGAAGCCAGCCTTCATAAAATATAAATTAATATTTGTACTGACATGTGTAATTCTGTAAGAAAGAGAAAGAGACTCAAATATAGAAATCAAAGGTTTGAGAATCAAAGAGAAAACTGATGTGACAATAAAGCTGGTTCAAGGAGATGGATGGACAGACAAGTCATTGTCCACTGAGAAAGTCCAATTTGAGGAAATAGTTAGGATCCAGAAATCCCATCACCAGGAGCAAATGTAGAAGTCAGGAAGTCATGTGTCAGACATATGCTTCCACATGCTACAGAACTGATCACAAGAGCCAAAACACAGAAGAGACCCTAGGTGACCATGGCCAGATGAACAAATTAAAACAATGTCCACTCAGCCCTTGGCCCGTTGCTGGCCAACTGGTACAAAAACCCAATAAAATGCCATTTAATACCAACAGGAAAATGCCTTCCCGGAGCTCAAACCAGCCTGTTTCACATTAGCTGAAACAACAGTCAGGGCATATCTTCCACCACCTGACACAAAACAGGACCTCACTGTCCCCACAGCCACAGCCTCAGAGTCACACTGAAGAGCAGTGGACCAAGCCTCCAGGCCCTTCCAGGACTCATGGGGGCTTTGGTCCGTGGCTTCTTCACTCCCACGTGGAGTGACTCTGACAACTCAGGCAGTGATCCACACTATGGGAGCAGGGTGTTCCGGCATGGGGGAAGGAATTGAGATTCTTCTCCCTCTCTGCCCTCCTCTTGTTCCTCCCTTTCCCCCTCAGACACACATGCCATGGAGCTGATAATCATTGAAACATTTCCAGACTTAATCCTGAAATATGGATAAACAGTCCCAGAGAAGGAAGCCTCGTGGAAGGAGAAAATGTGGGACATGTCACTCATGTTATAGAAAGAGATGTCACCTTCAGTGTAGTCCACAAACACCCCTACACTCTGTGGAGCTTGCCTGATAGATAATGAAGCCCTCCCAGAGTCAATATAGGCCCAATATCCACTACTAGACTGCCCCACAGTCCAAAACCCCTTAGCTGGACTCTCAAAATAAAAGTCTTTTCTGTCCACACCTTCCCTACAGACCCCCAGAATCCATTTGCTTCCTTCTCTTTTTGTTAGCTTCACCTCCCAGTAATATCGTCCAGAAGAGATGCCTCCAGTGCCTATGACACTGAAGAGGTCATCCAAGCACATAGTGGTGTACTTCCGGGTCACACTCATCCTGTCCTGGGAGATGGCAAGGGTGTGATGGGCAGAGGCTGGATCCAGAGTGAAAGTCCCTGTAGAAAGAGTCAGCAATCATGGGAAGTTCTGCTCAGTACCCACAAGAGGCTGCTCCACCTTCATCTCAAAACCTCTTAGCTTCTTCTAGGGGGTTTAGTCTCTCACATAAGAGCCTTGAGGCTCAAACCAAGGTCTTGCAAGCAGAGAAAGGCAAGAAAAGCCAAATTAGGAGGTGAAAAGGAAACAAGGCACTTGAGAAGGAAACCAGCTTAGTAACTGTCAACTCTGCCATCCACATCACTGAAGACATCAACACCTGAGTCACCACACAGAAGAGGAGAGACCAGAGCCATAGGAAGCACAGGAGGAGTGTCCCTAAGGGACACAGAGTCACTCACAGGCCTGGAAGTGTTCCTTTCGCCAATCTACAAGAGAAATACAGATCATGTGAGGGTTGTGAGGGACTATACCCATCTTGTCTGCAACTGTCTTCAGAAACAGACTTTTTTCGGGTTCTGAAGTGGGAGTTGTGGGGACTTGTGGGGACAATATGCTTGTCTCACACACCTATACATACACAGAGGGAGAGAGATATACACATAAAAACACACATACACACACATACATACACACATACACAGAGAGATGTGACACACATAAAAACACACATATACACATGCATACATACACACATAAACAGAGACAGACAGACAGACAGACAAACAGACAGACAGACAGACACAGACATGCACACAGAGGGAGGGAGAGATACACATAAAAACACACATTCACACACACATACATACATACACAGAAAGAGAGGGAGAAAGATACACACAAACACACACATACACACACACAGAGGGAGAGAGATAAACACATAAAAACACACATACACACATACACACAATCTGCTGTAGCCCTCCTGTAAAGACTCAAACAGTGGGG